CCCCCCCCCCTTCCTGTGCCTCATAGGACTTGGGCCAGTAGAGTGGAGCCCTGCCCCTCCCTGCCCCCCTCCGCCCATCCATGCCAGCCTGTTGTCTGAAGAGGAGGCCTTGCTGCCAACGCCCCCTTCCCCCCTGCAGGGAGCCTCCTCGAAGGCAGCAGCGGAGGCATTTCGGAGCAGGCCACGCATGCCCTCCCCTTCCGACATGCTCTTGTCCAAAACAACTGGGGCAGGGAAGTCTGCACATGTCCAGCATGAGAGAGCAGTGTTTCTGGGCCCGCGCTGCCTGACTTGCCTGTTAAGCGCATTGACGAGGTCCGTCCTGGGCTGCTGCCATGGCAACCACAGAGGGAGGGAGGGAGGGAGGCGGGCTGGGCTGTGCACCTGCCCATCAGCGAGACCTGGACGCCTTCCCACGGAGGAGGAGCTCCCTGTCTTCAGGGCCGCCGTGGCAGCTGCTGGCAAGGAAGAGAGGGGCAGGCGGGTTCCAGAAGGGCCCTGCTTGCCCCAGTGGCTCCCTACGGGAGGGGGAGATGCCACGCACATGCCCGCTCAAAGGGGCGCCAGCCTGGCTGAGGCGGCAGCAGGCGGAGCTAGCGGGGCCCTCGGCCAGATCCTGCGAGGCGGCTGCTTGGCAGCAAGTAGGCAGTGAGGCAGCACCCCACGCAGCTGGTTGGGTCACGTGGGTGGCGGGGAGGGACCGGTGTGTGTGTTTCGGCCCGCCTGCTCAGAGTCCCACGTCCCGCCTGCCCTGCCTCTCTTCTCCTTCCCCTGCAGGTCTGAAGACCCCCAGCAACTGTGAACTGGTGGTGGGAGGGGAGCCGCAGTGCTGGGCCGAAGGGCGCTGCCTGCTCTTTGACGACTCCTTCCTGCACACGGCGTTCCACGGAGGCAAGTCCCCCTCCCCCCCCGTCTTTGGGCAGGCGTCCCCTGCTGCTCGAAGGCGCCCAAGGCTCGCCACCACCAGGGCGCAGCTGAAAGCAGGAAGGGCTCCCCTCAGACAGCCGCACACACCCCCTGGGAAGCCCCCCCCCCCCGCGCCCTCTCGGGCCTGTGGGACCGGGGCAGGGAACGGAGGCACAGGCAGGGCTGCTGCTGGTGGCTTTCAGGGCCTCTGTGTGGTGAACTCTGCCCCGCTCTTCTTTGCAGAGCCGGCTCCCGTAGCCCAAAGGCCCACAGGAAGCCCAGAGGCTGAGAGGGTCGGCTGAGCGATGGGACCACTTACGTGCGGGGGTGGGTGGGGGGGCATCTCCCTCCCTAGCAGCAGGCCTTCAGGTCGGGGCCGGGCAGCCACCTGCTGGGGAAGCTCTCGCTCTGAACACCCGAAGCTGCTTTCTGCTGAATCGGCCCATCGGTGCAGCAGAGTCGGCATTGCCTGCCTCGACTGGCAGGGGCTCCGGCCACGGTCTTTCTTATCATCTGCCGCCTGGTCCTTTTTAACTGGGGACGCTGCCGGGGATTGAACCTGGGACCTTCCGCATGCAGAGGCTCTTCCACTGAGCCCCGACCCCTCGAGAACATCACTGTGTCGTACAGAACTGGCCCTTTGGAACACCAGTGTCCGTGCTGCCTCCTCAGACCGGCAGTGGCTCTCCGGGGTCCTGGGCAGATGGAGGTCTTTCCCATCACCCACCCTTCAAAGGGAGACCTTGCCAGGGGCTGAACCTGACCTGCAGCCCCTCCCCCTGGGCTGGCTTTCCTGCACTGAGCAGGGGGTCATTGGACTCCCCTCTAGGACTCTGGTCTGGGGAGTCGGTGGGCCCCGGCACACTTGGGTCCTGCTTCAGCTCCAGGCAGAAAGGTTTTCCCAGAGAGAGAGAGAGAGAAAGAGAGGGGCAGAGGTGTTGTGCACTTCCCCAAGTTAATAGGTCAGGGAGAGGCTCCCGCTCAGCAGTGGAGCATTTCCTGGGCACCTCCAGTGAAAAGGCTCACAAGGCCCTGGGGAGCAGCTGCCAGTCCGAGGAGGCGATCCGCATGGCGGGCCGAGGGTTGGACGGGGTAGAAGGCCGCTTCGTGTCTCCTCCGCATTTGCATTGTGCTGCTCCGGTCTTGCCAGCTTGTCCTGCACAGTTCCCTGGCGGGCCATTTGGAAAGTTGTAGCAAAGCACAGGAGAGGAGAGCCAAGTGCAGGGACTGGGAAGGAAGCGGCTCGCTTCCCCCCACACACACCTTGACAACAGCTAACTTGCAGGTAGACGTTTAGCGGGCAGAACAGCCCAGGCCAGATCTTAGCAGGGTGGAAGGTGCTGGGGGCCGGTCTTCCCAGCTGCCCCTGGCTCTGTGTGTGTGTGTGTGGTGGGCGGGGAGTGTTCGTTCCGCCTTTCCCAGCTGGGCACCTTTTCTGCCTGGCTGTGCCAGGCGGCCAGAGTGGGCTGGTGCGGAGGTGGTGACGGCGGGGGCGGGCTGACTGTGCCCGGAGGACAGAGGAAGACTTACCTGCTTGCTGCTTCTTTGGTCTGCAGGTTCCCCCGAAGAAGGCCCCCGCGTTGTCTTCATGGTGGACCTCTGGCATCCAAACGTCGCCGCGGCCGAGCGCCAGGCCCTCGATTTTATTTTTGCTCCAGGACGATGATCCAGCTGCCCTGGCAGAGCGGGGTGGAGGGTAGGCCAGGGGCCCAGAGGGGGGTTGCCAGCCCACTACGGCCTCTCCACAGCTCTTCGTCTGTCCTGGTGCGCATGTGCACCCGTGCGCGCACACACACATGCACCCCTGGGGTGGGGTTTGCTCCTTGCACCGTTTTTTGTACATGGAACTTTCCACCGCCGTTGGTCCCCCCAACTCTTTCTTCCCATCCTGGGAGGGTGGCCTTCCCCCACCCCCGTCGCTCTGGGGTTAGACACAGTGCCGCTGTCGTGTGTGTTATGTTGCTAGCTGTGTTTTGCCGTGTCCAGAACTTAGCGCCCCCACCACCACCACCACTCAGTGTTGCTGTGTGAACTCCCCTTTGTGGTCATCTTTCTAGACAAAGCAACGCCTTGGCCCGCTCCAAGGGAACTTGGCCCCTCTCCCCTGGGGGAAGAGGGTGTGGCAGCCAGGTGGGTGGGTGGGGGGGGCCCTCTTGCTGGCTGCCCCATTCTGCCAGAGGCTGCCGCACACGTTGGGGGGGGGGCTGCTGCCCCAACCCCTTTTTCTCCAGCTTTGCCTCCACCACTCACACCTTGTTTGCTCCATTGCCTGCCCTTGGAGGGTGGCAAGCCTCTGCTGCTGGGCTGGGGGCAGGAGGCGAAAGCCAGCCGGCCTGCCCACTGGGTGGCTGGCAAGCAGGAAGGGAGAGGAGCAGGCTGGGCTCCAGGAAGCCACGGGGCAGAGCGCCTCTCAGCCCCAGAGGAGGGTTCAGGGCCAGGACGGAAGCTGCCAGACCTCGTTTCCCCACGTCATGGTCCTGTGGTGAAGAGACCCCTCCCCCCCCCAGCAAAGCCATGCATGATTTGGGACGCCTCCGACTGACCAAGCAGCTGGAGGGAGTCTTCTGGGGCAGGCCGCGGGGCTCCGTAAAGCCTGCTACGGCTTGGGAACCATTTTGTGCCCGTGACAACCAAGGCAAGCAAATAAAACTCCTGTGCTGAAAGATGCCGCCGTCTGTGAGCCTCTCTGCCGGGAAGAGGGTGGGGGCGGGGCGAAGTCACAAGCTGCCTTCATGTGAGGGATGGAGAACTCTCCTGGGTGCGGGAGCCAGTGTTCCCTCTAAGCTAAGTGAGTGTGAGCCAGCTCAGTTTTTTAGCCTCCAGCTCACACATTTTTGCCTTGGCTCAGGACGGGATGGCTCCGGAGGAAACTGATTTACGCAGCAGCCCGCTCGCTCACTGCTTTAATGCCGGCAGCTCACAAAGTGGAATTGTTGCTCACAAGACTCCACAGCTTAGAGGGAGCCTCGGTGGGTGCACCACCTTCTCTCCAAGATGAGGCTCCAGGCTTGAACAAGCTCTTTCCACAGGTGTGGAAGTTTCTGCCAGAAGAAAACCAGGCAGGTTTTCCCATTTGTTCTTCCTGCCCCATCTGCGACCAGTTAAGCAGAGGAGCACTGACTGGGAAGCCCCTGGTGGGCCCCATCTGAGCTGTGCCTCCAACACACGGCGCAGCCCCAACCCCCAAGCACAGGCCGCCCCTCTCACGCCACTGGGAGGTGGAGGTTGGCGGCGGCAGCCTGGCTCACAGAGCTCTTGGCAGGGTCACAGGAGACGACACGAAAAATGCTTTGGCAGTTAAGGGTCAAGAATCTTGCCGGCAGTAGCAGGGCACCCCCCACCACCACCCGGTGCATCTGAGAATCCAGCAGAGGACTTCTCTCCCCAGTTTATCATTAAGTCATAAGGGACTAGTGACCAAGGCTCCCTCTAAGCTGTGGAGTCTTGTGAGCAAAAATCCTACTTTGTGAGCTCCTGGCCTTAAAGTGGTGAGCGAGCCATTTGGCTCCTGCATTAATTAGTTCGCCCTGGAGCCATCCTTCCCGAGCTGAGACAAAAATGTGTGAGCCGGGGGCTAAAAAACTGAGCTAGCTCGTAAGAACTTAAGAGACGCCAATGTTGGATCAGGCCAAAGGCCCATCCAGTCCAACACTCAAGTGTCACACAGTGGCCAGAAATACCAGGGGCCATCAGGAGGTCCAGCAGTGGGGCCAGGACACCAGGAGCCCTCCCACTGTTGACCCCCCCAAACACCAAGAATACAGAATATCACCTGCCCCAGCCTGTGAGTCCCTATCTATACCTTGTGGCTAAGAGCCACTGATGGACCTCTGCTCCATATGTTGATCCAGTTCCCTCTTGAAGCTGTCCATGCTTGTAGCCGCCACCACCTCCTGTGGCAGTGAATTCCATGTGTTCATCGCTCTTTGGGTGAGGAAGGACTTCCTTTTATCTGCTCTAACCCAACTGCTCAGCAATTTCATGGAGTGCCCATGAGTTCTTGTATTGTGAGAAAGGGAGAAAAGTACCTCTTTTTCAGCCTGCTCTATCCCATGCATTATCTTATCACTAACTCAGCTTAGAGGGAGCACTGCTAGTAGCCTGCTTTTGCCACCAAAACGCGAGTGGATAACTGAGAACCAGAGCTGGAGACTTGCCCTTTTGTGGGGGGCACAGGCGGCCTTCTGCTCAAGCAAAGCCTCTCTTGCCGAAGGGCCGCACTGAGGTCCGTCCACCCTCTGGCCGGGCGGCTGGTGCGGACAGATGGCCGGCCGGCGGCAAGCCTTGTTTTTCGGGAGGCAGCTGCAGGCACAGCGGGTGTTTGAGCTCCCTGCTTTTGTTGCTACGCAAACAGCACTGCATGGTTGGAAACTGAGCCACCCACGGCCCGGCTGCTGCGGTGTGTGCGTGTGGGGGGAGGTCACATGGCTAGAGTCTCCACCCACCGCCCCTTCCCGGCTCCAATTCAGAGGGGGAGAGGGAGGGTGGTGCCGCCGCCCCCACCACAAGGGACAGAAGGCAGCCTCCGGCCCACTGATCTCTGCAAGGAAAAGGTCGATTTGGTGTAGTTGTTAAGAGCACGGACTGTAATCTGGGAGAACCGGGTTTGACTCCCCACTCCTCCGCATGCAGCTGCTGGTGTGACCTTGGGTCAGTCACAGTTCTCTCAGAGCTGTTCTCTCGAGTTCTCGAGAGCTCTCTCAGCCCCGCCCACCTCCCAGGGTGTCTGTTGTGGGGAGGGGAAGGCGTTTGTAAGCCACTCTGAGACTCCGAGTGGAGGACAGGGTATAAATCCAATCTCCTCTTCTTCACGTGGATGAACAACTCAAAGGCAGGCCTCACGGCTGGAGCGGGAAGCTTTTATTACATCAGTGCTCCCCCTGCATGTGTACAAAAAGTCTGCCCCCCATGAAACATATTTCCTTTCCCCTCCCATTGAGAGTCCCCCATCCCCACCCGGGAAAGGGCGTGTGTGTGTGTGTGAGCGTGGTCCATGCCAAACATTTGGTATCAGCAGTCAGGACGCATAAATGACAGACGTGGCCAGCAGTTAAACCTTCTGTGAGAGGGGAAGGCAGAGACTCTCCCCCACAGCCACGGAGAAGAGCACCCAGGTCTCATCCTGCAAGGTCTCATCTCACTTGCACGTGCGGCTGCAAGGGCATGTCTGAAAACCTTCCACCCCCAGGTGGCCACTCTTTGCAGATTCAGAGAGCTTTCAAGACAGCGGGCTGTAGCGTTCTTGCGGGTGTGGACTCGTCTCCTCCCTCCGGGAGGCAGGAAGCTGCGGCCTTCAGTCTCAGCTGGGAAGAACGGCGCAACTCCCGAGAAGACGCCTTCCACCCTTCCCGCCTGCAGCTGCCGAAGCTGGGGAGGGGGAGGGGGAGGCCACCCAACCCCCACCAGGAAGGCTGTGCCTTCTTGGACAAAGCACAACTGTAAGGAGGTGTATCATCCAGTGTGGAATGACCTCCCCCCACCGCCCCACACCTGCTTCAAAAAAGAAAGGCACTTTTGCCCCAGGTTCAAAGGCTGGCTTCTTTGCGCTGGGGGCCACCTGGCCAGCTCAGAGCAGGTTCACGCCGTGCTTCAGCAGCTTCTGCTTGGCCCTGGAGGGCAGGGTGAAGGCACTGTCCCGGGGATTGGGTGCCCCTGAATTGCGGAGGGGGGAGCCCAGCTGTTGGAAGTACGTCTCTTGGACAGCGTTCCGGCAGGCGTACACGGCGGTGGAGGCGTTCCTGAGGGACCGGCCCACGAGGCAGGCGGGGGGGGGGGGGGGGGGAGAGAAAGAGAAGCGCCATTGATGAGCTCGGCCAGGATGCAGCAGAGACCCAGCTGTGGTCACAAGCTGCTGCTGTACACCCCCCCCCCCACTAGACTGCTGTGAAGATGGAATCCCCCCCAAAAAAAATAAGCACAGAGAAGGTGCAAAGCAACCTGCGCCAAACATGGGGGGCTGGTTGAACATGTGCCAGCAAATTCCCTCTTGTTGGCTAGTGTAAAGGTAAAGTCTACAGGGCTGCCCTGCCTCCCCCCTAAAAAATCCACAGCCCCCCCCCCCACACACAGCTTTTCTGCCCTCTCAGAACTCCCTGGCTAGGCTGGGGGAGGAAGAATCATTTTGTCAGAGACTTGCTTAGCGTTTCCAGGCACACAGGACCCGCACCATTAGAAACACTCACGACAGAATTCACATTCGTGTCCTGAATAAAGGTATCTCGGCCGACCAGCCCATCTCAGAGCAGTCCCCCCTGTCCCCCCACCTGCAGGATCCTCCTAAGATCACCTTCACTACCCACGGTCTTGAGGAAGAAGGGACGCTTTTAGGAGGACCTTACATGAAAGCAAAACCTTTCAGGGGCTAAATGTTCTCCAAGCCTTTGGTGACCACCCAATCAACTGTTAAGTGCTGTGTATGCCAACAAGCCAACTGTTGCACGTGTCTCATTCTGCACTACCCTCTACCAGAGGCAGGAAAAACGTCTTCATTCTTTCTGTCACATCTGTGAAGGAGGCAAGACTCTATGGTCTGGTGAGAGGCCTTCTACACCCTGGGAATGACCCCCGAGGTCACAACCCAAAGGAATGGTACCTGGGTCTGCAATCTGTACAGGCTGAGAGTTTACAAAGTGCTTTTGTTTCTGCCAGAGAGGAAGAGAAAGAAGCAAGAAGCCAGGGGGCCAGCGTACCTAAGAGACCGCCTCTCCCCATATCAGCCCCAGAGGGCACTGAGGTCCACAAATCAACATCTGCTAGTGGTCCCCGGCCCCAGGGACGTCCTGCTTGCCTCGACCACGGCCAGGGCTTTTTCAGCCCTGCCCCCCACCTGGTGGAATGAGCTCCCGTGTGAGACCAGGGCCCTGCAGGACCTATTGCAGTTCCGCAAGGCCTGCGAGATGGAGCTCTTCCCCCGGGCATTTGGTTGAGGCAGCGGACGTCCCCCCCCCAGCTTCTCTGGTCCTGGTTTTTTTGGCCCAGCTTTTTCTGGCCAAATTGTCCACCAGTGGCCTGACTCTGACCGGTCATTGGACTACCTCTATAGTTACACGGTATTTTATGATATCTTATGTGTAAATTGTTATTTTAATACTGTTTTAATTGTATTATTTAATTGTTGTACATCGCCCTGAGCCCATTTTGGGGAGGGCAGTATATAAATCTAATAAAATGAATAAATAAATAAATAAATTTGAAGCGGAGTCAGTGCCATAGAAATACAGATGATCCTAGCTGGAGGAGAAAAGGCACAGAATCATAGAGTCACAGAGTCGGAAGGGGCCCGACAGGCCATCTAGTCCCACCCCCTGCCCAATGCACGACCAGCCTGCAGCATCCCTGACAAGGGTTTGTCCAGCCGCTGCTTAAAGGCTGCCGGTGAGGGGGATGCATCAGCACAGTCCTCCGTACTCAGACCTAAAGCTATAGAGCTCAGGAGGAGAAGGCAAGGGCAGCCCTTCCGTCCGGGACAGGGAAAGAAAGAGGGTCTGCAAAGAGCTTATAAACCCCTGGAACATAGAGATGACAGTCTCCATTTTACTGCAAACCATTCTTACAGCCGGATTCCCCCACGGCAGCCATGAGTAGTGTTCCCTCTAAGCTGAGTTAGTGTGAGCTAACTCACAGGTTTTTAGCCTCCAGCTCACAGATTGTTGTCTTAGCTCAGGAAGGATGGCTCCAGAGCACACTAATTTATGCAGCAGCCAAATCGTTCGCTTACAACTTTAATGCCAGTAGCTCACAAAGTAGAGTTTTTGCTCACACGACTCCGCAGCTTAGAGGGAACACTGCCCATGACAACACGGTGCTGAAACTAGAGCAGGAAAACCCAAAATGCTGAACAAGGTACTGGGGGATTCCTGAGTGCTGGCAGCTTCATGAATTAAACAGCCCATGTCCTTAGTTTTCATCATCAGCAATAAGATTCAGTACCAAAGACTGCATTTTTAGCACTTTCACTCTGATCCTTGCTCAGTCCGTTATGTTTGCCCAGGGTGTGTGTGCTTTTTAGATTCTGAACAGTCTCCCTTTCGTTCTTAAGGCAGTCTCTGTGAGCCACATTAAACCTCCTGTGCGAGAGAAAGGGCGGAGGGTAGCAGTTACCCCTGGAGTCCAAGCAGGTGGGCCGGTCCCCTCGGCAAACAGAGAGAAGCGAGGAAGATGTGACTGCAGCATGGAATCTTTATACAGCCAAGCAGCAGAGGGGGCCAGGCTCAGACCCTCAGGTGGAACATGTGCCTTTATCATAATAAAGGCTTGATGGTTGCAGCTGAGAAAGAAAGGGCCAGTCCGGGCCCGGTGAGTCACCAAACCCCTCCCTCATGCCCACGTGAGCAGAAACCAGCATTGCTGCCCCCCCCACACACCATGCCACACTCAGAGTCATAAACATTACGGCAGGACCGGATTGCCCCTCCCCAATCAGCTGGGTTTTTCCTACCCCCCACAACTTGAAGCCCAGATCTTTGCCGACCCTGGAAGAGCACGCAGCCAGCACAGCCTAGACAGGGAAGAGCCGCGGCTGAAGCACCCATTTCTGCCCTAATGTGGCCAGCAGACCCAAGCCAGGGTTTTCAGGGAGCGCAGCATGCTGTTTTCCTCAAAAAACCATGACTTCCTGAAGCATGACAAGGACATGTGACCCAGGAAGGGAGAGGGGAGGCCCAACAGCCATTCAAAGGTTTAGCCAACTGATGGACCAGCTGGGCTGACTAAAGCTTGATGCTTTACTGGTACGGGACATACTCCTTCTGGAAGATTGAGTGGCTGACTTGATGTGTGTCGTTACTTTCCTTAGGCAGGGGGTGGGTGGGAATCAGAAACCTGAAAAAAGGAAGACAGACGAAGCCTCGCTCTGCCTGCTGGAACGCAACCGGCATGCTTCGCTTCTGCTCAAAGAAGCCGCCAAGACACACTGATGGTCCCTGAAGGCTTGGAGCCGGCAAGCGCTGGTGCTGCCTGTGAACCTCAAGACCCAAGAGCTGCATCTTGCTGAGAGCCAGGATCCGCACACAGCCCCCAGCCACGCCAATGCCTCCAAAGCGCTCCCATTTGACCCCCTTACCGGACAGTGATTTCTGACACCGTTGGCAGCTGGTGAAAGTCCGTGTGGAGCAAGCTCACGGCTCGCAGGAAGTGTTGGTCCTGGGGGCCGGCGGCTGGCAGGAAGTTCGCTGGAAAGGGAGAGGATTGGGGTCGGTGAGCAATGCAAGGGTCAAGCAGAAAGGCAGCTGGGAAGGGGAGAGGGAGGCCGCTGGGTGGCTCTCCCACCCCACTGCCAGGGGCGGGGGAGGCCGCCCAGGCCCCTGCTCCCGTTCCCAACTGGAGAATAGGGTCAAGTTCACACAGACAGGCGAGGCCTTCTCTTTTCCTTGGAATGCTTGCGGTTTGTGTGGATCCATTCATTTTCTCCATTCATGCCTCACCACCACCACCACCACCACGAGGTCTTCACAGAGCAAAATTAAGCAGCTCCGAAGCTAATTCCTGTGCACGATGGTAAGGGAAGAAGACAGAAAGCGCACCCCTCACTCAGTGCAGAAGGCGGCTTTCACAGGACCTAAAATAAGGCTGAGGTTCTACTCTGCATTTTCTGTTGGTTTTTATGCCAAAGTCCTGATGCTATCCTGGTAAGGCCAGCCAGTATTTTCGCTCTTTTGCTGAAAGAGGCCGGCCGGCCAAAGTAGCAGTGGCAGCATTCGAACCGAGGGCTGTATGACCCCAACCAGCTTGTGCCGCTCTCCTTTACATGCCCCCCCCCCAAAAAAAAAATCCCAAAAGCCAGGAGGGCTCCCTCTCCACCTCCAGACCTGCCCCAAAGGAATTAAAGCGGCATGTTCTCCTGGCTTGGCTGTTCCCGGAACCCTCCCTTTCTCTTCTTGAATCACCCAGCCCCCCCCTTTCTCTTCTTGAATCTCTGGCAGCCTGCAGCCCACACCGCATCCCCCCCGACCCAGTTCTAGCTTGATTGGGCCTGAGATGATGATGACGAAGAAGATGAAGAGGAGGAGGAGGAGATTGGATTTATTCCCCTTGCCCTTCACTCGGAGTCTCAGAGCAGCTTACAAACGCCTTTCCCTTCCCCTCCCCACAACAGACACCCTGTGAGGTAGGTGGGGCTGAGTGAGCTCTGACAGGAACTGCTCTTTTTCAAGGACAGCTCTTGTCAGAACTGTGGCTTGCCCAAGGTCATCCAGCAGGTGCAAGTGGAGGAGTGGGGAATCAAACCCGGTTCTCCCAGATCAGAGTCCGCGCACACTTAACCATGACACCAGACGGGCTTCATGACAGCAAGTCACGCCCCCCCCCCAAGGGCAGTGGGAGCAGTCCTCTTCCAGGAACGAGCCCCTCCTGCAGGGTCACAGGGGCCAGCCCCCTCCCAGCTCGCCGTGCCCCATCCAGCCCTCACCGGTGAGAACATTCTGGATCGAGTCGTAGTGCGCAAAGCCATAGGAGCTCTTGACCGAGGAGGGGCCGTCCTTCGGAAGGGTTTCCTTGAGGTGGACCTCCAAGCCGTTCAGCGAGGCCAGGCTGCTGTGATACTGAGAGGGAGAGACGCATCAAGCCCAAGGCAAGGCCCCCTCTGGGTCAACACACCCACACAGGGCAGGACTGGAGGAGCTCTGGCATTCCGCGTGCCGCTTGGGGCGCCGCTCCAGCCCACACAGTCCGGCTGCCAGCAGCATGGGTCCATTCCTGAGGTGGCGCTCCTTGGACTCAGTCCGGTGGGGCCCCCCCCCCACCTCTACCTGTGTCAAGCCATGCTTCACTTTGCTTCACACGGTTTGCCACTGACGCTGGGGGGAGTGAGTGCGGCGTGCGTGGGAGTGCCTCTGTCTTAGACGGCAGAGCCTCTTCCTCAAGATGTGCCTCTCTCTGGTTCACAGGGAGCGGTCCTTGAAGCTCTCCGTGCCAGCTTGTGTAGCAGATCGTGGGATCGTGTATTCCCATGGGAAGGGGGGCAGGAGACGCAGGAGCCTGGCTGCAGGGCGTGATGTGTGTGTGTGTGTGGGCCTTAGGAGGGGCTACAGTTTGAACAGTCTATATCTGTGCCTGAACCCGCCAAAATGCTTTAGAACGAACACAGTATTGATCATGCCTGGAACTTGTTTAACGTAATAAAGCTTTTCACTGCCAAAGACCGTGTGTGCTTGAGAGTGACTTGACCAGGGAGTCTGACCGCCTGCCTTGCCTGCCTGCTTGCCATGGTGTCTGGCCATGGGACCCGCCCGGCACTTGCAGGGCCCCTGCGGCAGGGAAGGTCACGGCAGAGCAAAGGGCAGCAGTGCGCCCTTGACTGGGGGAGCATCACCCACGGGCAGCTCAGTTGCCACCACCCATGTCGCCCCCAGATTCTTTGTGCATAACCCCCCCCATTGAGGAATCTGCTGGATGGTCTCAGGAGGACCCTTCTCAAGGGGGGGGCTCCTGGGGGCAGAAGGCAAGACTCTGACAGCACTGCAGGGAGTTCTGGTGTGGGGGGGTATGGGGCTCTAACCGTGGGGGGAGGAGGGGTGCTAAGCAAAAACGGCCGCCGTCTCTTACCACGTCCTCGATGGAGCCCTCGCTCTCCGCAAACGGCTCTTCCGCCAGGAGAGCCAGCACCAGGCCTCGGACGCGGTGGACGTACAAGGCCATCCTCACCAAAGCTGCCCCGCCGGGCCCGTTGCTGATGGCTGCTGACGCTGCGCCCGGTCCCCCCGGACTCCTGCAGTGAGAACGGGCGCTTGGTCTGCAGAGCACGGGGCACGGGCACCCCGTCCTGTGGCTTCCCTGGGGGCTGGCCCTCTTGGGGCGGGGCCGAGGTTCGGCTGCAGAGCACCAGCCTGGTATGCAGAAGGTGCCGAGTTCCATCCCCGACACAGCACCTCCAGGAAAAGGACTGGGGAGCCCCCCCCCCCCCAGTGCTGGGGAAGGAAGGCCTTTCTTGGCCCGCGACTCGGGAGAGCTGCTGCCCACCAGAAGGGTCAGCACCGAGGGGGAGACACGGGGGACACCAAGGGCCTCTGCTGGCTTCACAGGGTCCTCGGAGAGACCGCTCGAGTGGAGGGCCCCCACCCAGCCAGGACATCCAGGGGGAAAGCTTCTGCAGCCCAGGGGGGCGGAGCTCAGGTCCAGCCCTGGACGAAAGCAGCTGGCCTCGGGGGGACCCGACTGATGCCCGGGGGAGGGGGGCAGGGCCTTTGTCTGGGTCCTGCTCTTCTCCACGGCTGGGACTCAAAAAGGTCATTCTCCTTCACTCCACTCCATTCTGACCAGTGGGGCTTTGAACCCGGGGGCCCCCAGGATATCCCAGCCACACACGCCGTCCACCACACCACGACAGCTCGCTCCAGGGGGTGCCAACCCGTGTTCCCTCTCAGCTGAGTGAGTGTGAGCCAGCTCAGTTTTTTGGCCTCCGGCTCACACATTTTTGTCTCGGCTCAGGAAGGGATGGCTCCAGAGCAAACTGATTTATGAGGGTGCCCAATCGCTCGCTCACAACCTCAATGCCAGGAGCTCACCAAGTAGAATGTTTTACTCACAGCTCAGAGGGAGCCTTGGGACCAACACCCCCCTCCCCAAATCAAGTTCATAATCTCTGAGCTGAACCTGGGGGGTGAGAGGTGGCACAGAGCACGGATCTCACGCCTGAAGGGAGCAGCAGACGCCCAGAGCAGGGAACCTCTGCCGGGGAGAAGCCCCTTTGCCCGTCCCCAGTTCCCACCTTACCGGGCCATCCACTCCAGGGGGAAGTCCCGCAATGCGGCGGCTTCATTTTCTAAGAGGTAAACAGGGGTGATGTGGACCCCCTGAGGTAGACAGGAACCTTCGAGGGGCAGCTGAATGCGCTCTGGGGAATGGAAGAACACAGAGGGGGGGGGGGTTTGCCTGCTGCCAGATAATATCAGCGTAAAGCCTCCAGGAGGCCATAGCCGGACACGACCCTGGCAGTTATTTGCACCACTTCTTGTACTTTCCTAAAGGAGCCCTAGAGGAGCTGCGGTGGCTCAAGTGGTTAATAACCGCAGGCTGTGGAAGGTCGGTAGTTCAGCAGTTCAAGACCCGAGTGTGCCGCATGACGGAGTGAGCTCCCATCTCTGGTCCCAGCTCCTCCCAACCTAGCCGTTCGAAAGCAAGAAATTGCAAGTAGCTAAATGGGTACCACTTTGGTGGGAAGGGGACAGCATTCCGTGCACCTCGGCATTTAGTCATGCCGGCCACATGACCACGGAAATGTCTTTGGACAGCGCTGGCTCTTCGGCTTTGAAACGGAGATGAGCACCGCAACCCTAAAGTCGGATTCGACTGGCTTTCGAGCAAGGGAACCTTTACCTTTACCTAAAGGAGCCCCACTGCTGGACCTCCTGAGGGCACCTGGTATTTCTGGCCACTGTGTGACAGAGTGTTGGACTGGATGGGCCATTGGCCTGATCCAACATTGGCTTCTCTTACATTCTTATGAGCTGATCTGTGCAGAACAGCAGAGCTTCCTCATTGCTGGGGGATGTTCTGCAGCCAAACACCCCAGGCGGTCAGTCACCACGAGGGGCGGGAAACTTGGAAACAGATGGAAAAACTTTTCTTGTGTTAACACGAATTCTCACCCACAAGCAGAGCTCTCTGCATCAAACGCCTCTGAATGTGGTCTCAGCTGACAAGCCCAGTGGACCTACCCAGGGCGTAGCAGAGGGTGTGCAACTCACGAGTAAACCCTCAGATCCCTGTGCAGCTGGCTGCAAAGCAAAGGGCCCAGGGAAGGATCAGAAAAGCCAGAGAGATCATAAGAGCGCTGTCCAAACTTCCTCCAGTCACTGCACAGACCTGAAGCAAGACTGGGCACCTGACTCCATCAACTGGAGGGGGGAGACCGTGACCCCCCCCAACTGAAGAAGAGGAGACTGGATGTATACCCCGCCCTTCACTCAGAGTCTCAGAGCGGCTGACAAACTCCTTTCCCTTCCCCTCCCCACAACAGTCACCCCGTGAGGTGGGTGGGGTTGAGAGAGCTCTGACAGAACTGTGGCTTGCCCAAGGTCATCCAGCAGGTGCAAGTGGAGGAGTGGGGAATCAAACCCAGTTCTCCCAGATTAGAGTCTGCGCACTTAACCACAACACCAAACTGGTTCTCATGGAACATTGCTGGTAGGGCCCCTGGTGTAGACGGCCACAGGCACAACGTCCAGCAGGAGGCATGGCTGCTGGCGCACGGCTGGAGGAATCTGCCTTGCCCGGTGATGCCCCCCCCGCACTCAGCACAGAACTCCTCCTCCACTTACCCTGATCCTGCAGCTGGCCTCCTCCGTTCGCTGGCAGACCCTGAAACAGAAAAGAGCCCCCAGTCACCGGGACCTGCTGAGCAGTCTGGAGAGTTGCCCCCCCCCCTGGCCTCTTTGGGGCTCTGCTGCCAAACCACGTAACGTGGTGCTCGAGTGCTTTAATGAATGACACGGGCCTGCTCCCTAAGTGGCCAGCGCTCTGCTCTTTCCAGCACGCCTTTCCCTCAGCTGCGCTTTGGCTCTAAAGCTTTGACTGCCCCCCCCCCAAAACCCCCAAAGGTGCATCCACTTCCCTAATTTCTACCAACAGATGCTAAGAGCTGCCCCCGGACCAGGAGGGAAGAGGAAGAAAAGCAGGAAGTTCTCTAAAGAAAGGAAGTACTCAGAACTGTGCTAGTCAGACATTCACACATTTCTGCATTGAAAAAAGAAGCGGGCTTCTAAAGGAGTGGGTGTTTTCGTGGACCAAAGCCCCCGGCAGAAGCAGCCCTGGAGGAAGAGAAGTCAGGCAAGGACGGAGCTGCCCTCTTGCTCCTCAGTCCCCCACGACTCCTGCGCCAGCCACAAGGCCAGGAGACCCATCTGGGACGTGGTCAGATTCTGCCCGCGCTCTCTTCAGACACGAAGGCGGCGGCAGCAGCTTCCAAGCTGGAACCTACCTCAGGGTTGGCCTCTGCCTCTTGCAACAGGACCTTGGCCGTGAGGCCGGGTGGCAGCTGTGTGCTGACAACCCTGGGGAGAGAGGATGGTTGAATGGACAAGACCTCCTTGGGCGGGAGGGGGCATATGTCTTGCTCCTCCTCAGTGGTCTCTGCTGGAGGCCAGAGCACAAGTGTGGGTGGGCAGAAGGGACCCCTGGCCAGACAACACCCAGCTGCAGGGGCCGGGACCCGACTCCACAGAAGGCAGCCCCCCAAACCCAGAGGAGAGGCAGGCAGGCAGGTAGGCAGGCCGGGTAAGGAGAATGAGGCCTGTCCCTCCCACAGGATACAGCCCCCATTTCAAGGCCTTCCACCCCAATACTCACAGCCCCTTGTAGCTGATGCATCCAGCCAGCACGTGGAGGGCACGCTGGCACGTCTGGAGGATCAGGGCCGCTTTCAGAAACCTGGACAGGAAGAGGGGGGGGGGAGTCAGGGCACGGGCAGCGCCACGGCAGAGAAGAGCCAGGGGAGGGGAGCCCGTCCCGCCAGGCGTTACTTTGGTTTTGTCCATGGCCCAAAGGGAGTTGAAGATCCGGTGCAGGTCGCTGGTGTTGTGCTGCACGTGCCTCACGTACCTCTCCCACTCCCGGTCCAGCTCTTCCCGCAGCCGCTCCTGAGGAGGACACGGAGACCCCATCAGCCTCTCCAAGGACCACCGGAGAACGCTGCTGATCTACGCTCCCCCTGAACACCACTCTTCGTCCAAACTGCACATTCACATGCAAAACGCCAGACTTCTGACAGCAGCAACTTTCTACCCTGAACCACCTTTATGTGAAAAGAAACCAGGAGGAGGGAAAGGGGAAGGCCCTGGGGCGAGAGCTTCCTCTCCTGGCGGTGGGAACCGCAGCCCCTTTTGCTGCCTTGCCCTCGGCGGCAGGCTCCTGTCCAACACTCGGGAGGGGACACTCCGCGGGAATCCAGAGGGACCCCGAGTTCAGCCCTGGGGGAGCTGATCTTCATGCCGGGAGAGAGTGGCTCTGGATCTCCAGACGTCCACCACCAAGGAGCGAGTGTCCCTGAGCACCCAGGGAGCTTCTGGCTCTCTGCACCACCTCCTGCCAGCCACTTCCAGGGACACGTGAGAGAATTAAGCAGTGAGCAAAGGCAAGGCCATGAGCCAGGCGGAGACCGAAGACAGACCCACCCCTTGTCCCCACAGAGGGCCTGGATAACTTTGGGCATACACACTCGTGAACCTCTGCAGTCCACCCCACAAAAACACTCTAGAGAGCCTGGCTTGAGCCGAGAAGCAAATAACCATTCAGACCAAAAAAGGGGGGGGGGGAGTGGCGATCCAATTTACAGCAGGGTCGAGAGAGCCCACTGCAGTGCCCAGGTGCCTGCTCTGCGCTGGGAGAATGAGGCAGACACAAGCCGCAGGAAGACCCAGAAGGTCTGCTGTTCCCGAGCCCAGGCCGCCAGCTCCCACAGGGCACCAGGCGAGAGAGACAACTCTGCAGCAAGGCTCCCTCTCAGCTGTGGAGTCTTGTGAGCAAAAATTCTACTTTGTGAGCTGCTGGCTTTAAAGTTGTGAGAAAACGAGTTGGCTGCTGTATAAATCAGTTTGCTCTGGAGCCATCCTTCCCGAGCCGAGACAAAAATGTGTGAGCTGGAGGCTAAAGAACTGTGCACTAGCTCACACTAACTCAGTTCAGGGGGAACACTGCTCTGCAGGGAAAGTGGGGTTCCAAAGCAGCAAGGTCCAAGCGGTCAGTCAGGATGGGGCCTGCCTCCAGCCACATGGAAGCAGCGGAAGGCTGGACGTGCAGGAGGAGGGGGGGAGGAAGGAAACTCTCAGAAGAGAGTGGTCCAGGCCAGCTCACGGGCAGAAGTCCTGCCCCCACTCACCTTGTAAGCTTGAGGAAGGGAGCCGTTGTAAAAGCAGAAGAGCCCAATCAAGAGATCCAGGAAGGACTGGCAGCTGGTATCCGGCAGGTCGGCAGCACAGCCCAGCACCTGTGGCACGCGAGCGCGTGAGACTGAGCCCCCTCCTCCCCAGCCCGTGCCGCTTCCCCAAGCCTTCCCCCCCTCGGGAGCCCCCACCCCACAGGGACTCACCCACAGGTAGCTGCCCTCCACACGCACGGCAAACTTGAGCTTCCTCAGACGAATGAGCTGCGGCGGAGAGCCCGAGATCTCGGCCATCCAGCGGACCACGCCTGCCACCTGGCTGCACAGCAGCTCCTGCTGCCCCAGAGGCGTCTGCCAGGGAAGGAGGGAAGAGACGCTACAGACAGGAGCCTGCCGGGACCCCAGGCGCCGCCGTGGCTGAAAGCCACATCTCAGGACCCAGCAGCGAGAGAGGCGTCCCTCCCCGAATCTTTGCAAACCCCCCCCCCAACTATGGAAGGGGTCAGTGCGTGGGCCGGGGGGGGGGGGAATCGCTAAAGCTAAGACACAGGAATGAGAATGGCAAGACGGCTTCCACCGCTTCAGGCAACAGTACAGAATACACCATGGCGGGAACGAATTGCTCAAGGTTTTTGCCATAAGGAGTATAACGAGTCCTTGTGGGAGTATGATAAGGCATGCAAAACATGTAAACTGTGTGGTTCCATAAGAATATATTGGCTCTGAAGAAGCAGAATCGAAACTCTCTCGGCCGACAGGAGACGTCAGCCTGGTTTCTCAGCCTCCCTGCAGACCTGAAGGTTTGAAACTAAGAAAGTTTGAAACAGCAAAGAAGATTACAGTGTTTTCAAGGACTGCATACAGTCCATTTACTGGTCTTGCTTTGGGAAGGCTTCTTTATACTTGTGTATTTGTTTCATAGCTTTTGTTTAAATAGCAATAAGTAGAAGAGAGAAGAAGAGATTGAATTTATACCCTGCCCTTCACTACCCAAGGGAACCACAGAGCGGTTTACAAACTCCTTTCCCTTCCCCTCCCCACAACAGACACCCTGGGAGGTGGGTGGGGCTGAGAGAGCTCTTGACAGAAACGGCTCTTTTTCAAGGACAGCTCTTATCAGAACTATGGCTTGCCCAAGGTCATCCAGCCAGGTGCAAGTGGAGGAGGAGTGGGGAATCAAACCCGGTTTGTACATGTGGATCATACCAAAAGATTTATAGTTTAATCTCTATGAATGACTTTCTCATTTATTATGTTTGAGACTTAATGCCTTTAAGTCACACTTTCAGTGGTATTTGACCTTGAGCAATTCATTCTCTCCATGATTGTTTTTGTTATTATACTTCGTGTCTCCGTGGTCCCGTTGTATTTAGTGTCAGGCCACAGTACAGTCAGAAAGGGCACTGTGCCCCCACCCCCCACCCCCGAGTCACAGCCTGGCACCCTCAGCAGCTATTGTTTTGGACAACAACAGCTGCTGGGAAAGTCCTGGGAAAGAGAAGGCTTAGAGGGGAACATGATTGCAGTCTTCAAGTATCTGAAGGGCTGTCATGTAGACGATGGAGCAGATCTATTCTCTCTTGCTCCGGATTGCAAGACTAGATCTAATGGGTGGGAATTACAAGGGAGTCGTTACTGGCTAAATATCAGGATAAACTTCCTGACTGTGAGAGTGGTTGAGCAGTGGAACAGTCTGCCTCGGGAGGTGGCGGATGCTCCTTCGCTGGACGTTTTCAAGCAGAGGCTGGACAACCATCTTTCGGGTATGTTGTAGGTATGTAGGGCTCTCTCTCGGCTGTTCTCCTGCAGAGTGCAGGGGGTTGGACTAGATGACCTCCAAGGTCCCTTCCAGCTCTAACATCCTCTGATTCTATGGAGAGCCCACGTCAGAAACAGCAGAGAGACTGAAGCCCTGGCATTCCCGGTGGGTGCCCCGGGGGCCACTGCCAGAGTAGTGTTCTTTCTTTTGTTATTTCTGCATGTGTGTGTGTGCGTGTGCACGTGTGCCTGGAAGTCATGGCGACTCCTACTAAGGCAGGGAAGGCATTCAGAGAAGTGGCTTGATAGCCTGCCTCTGCCTCCTGGCCCTGATATTCTTTGGAAGTCTCCCATCCAAACACTTGTCAGGGTTGGCCCTGCTTAGCTGTTCTTCCTGACCACACAGAACCTCTGCCCCAAGCAGCTCCCAGCCTCCCAGGAAAGGGGCGGTAGACGCCCTCCAGTGGTGACAAGGCAGGGTTGCCTGGGGATCCAGCCCGTCTCAACCTGGGCACCTTTGCTCACTGACCTAAGTAGGCCAAGCCGTTGCCTGCTGACCCTACCCACCCACTCGTCCAAAGCGGCGGCTGCTGCTGGGCCCAAGCGACACCGGCGTACCTGGCGTGGGCTGAAATAGCAAATCCCGGCTTGCGTGGGGTCCCCTTCTTCCTTCACCTTGGAGCCATCGAAAAGGAAAAAGCAATTCCACCTGCACAGCATCAGGGAACAAGCGATGAGACAAGAAGAGTTTCCACATGTGACCTACTAGGGGCACAGAACAGGCACATCCCCAGCTACCAATTTCTGACCACCCAGAGCTCAGGAGTGGGGGGGGGGGCGCAGGGCTGGATGCAAGATGCGCAGGCCAGGTGCTACTTTCTGCTCACGCTGCTGCAGGCTTCTGACACATTCTCGAAGAAGAGCCCTGCGCGTGACAACCAACCAACCAACCAACCCCCCCCACACACACACACATCTGCTACGTTGCACAGGGAGTGAAAGAGATCCCCGTCCTCCGTCCTCCGCAGAGGCATCAAGGGGCAGCCGTCGAGGGCGAGGACCGGCAGGCACCCGGGAGAGAGAGTGAGGAGGAGCCCTCTGGGCCACCCAGCCGGGCCCGAAGGGGCGGCGACCGCAACGTCGGCAGGGGCAAGGCTGCCTCTCAGCCAGCCACGGAGTCTTATTGGGAGCAAAGCTTCTGCTGCTGGGCGAGCTCCTCCTGGCATGAACGCTGCGAGCGAGCCAGCCAGCCATCGGGCTGCCGCATACATCAGTTGGCTCTGGGGAGCCACATCCTGCCTGAGCCGAGGCAAACGCGTGTGAGCCGGAGGCTAAAGAGACGGTGAGCTGGCTCGCGCTAACCCAGCTGAGAGGGGGCACTGCTGGGCAGGGGCCTTACCAGGCGGCGGCGGCGGCGGCGGCGGGAGGCTCGGCCTGGGCGGCGGCCATCTGCTCCCTCTGGCGGCCCTTCCGACTCCTCCTCAGCGCATCATCCCCGGAGCCCCGCCGAGGAGGAAGGAGGAGAGGAAGACCGAGGGGGCGCCTCCTCCTCCTCCTCCTCCCCTGCCCAGAGACGGGGCGGGGG